ACCCTAAACCCTAAACAGTATACTCAACGCTTTTCACGGCGCGTTAAAGTTTGAGAGGCGAACTCGGTGCCTATGTGCTGTGGTCGAGCACCAGGCAGCCAAGCTTACACAAGCTCTTTTTTGCAACCTTCAACTGCTTTCCCCCTAGGGTTTAGGGTTTAGGGTACAGGGCCACCAGGCCTGCGCCGGGGCAGGAGTGGAGGAGGGTGCGGCTGCCACCGCGGTCTGGGGGGCTGTTGGCGCAGGGGCGCCTCGGCTAAAAGAGATTACCAGGATGGGCTACTAGGCCTTAAAATCCCCATAACGAACCCTATTAAGGGCCTTTTGGGGGATGATAGGGTATAATCGCCCATCCTGGTAGATAGGTTTGGAGCTCAGCATTGCGGGAGGAGCTGAGGATTTTGGGGCATGGCTTCTGGCTATGGCTATGAAAGAAGGCCAAATTATGCAAGTCTGACGGCATAGCTTGCATGTGGGCTTCTACTTAAAATTGAAAGTTCTGTCCAAGAGCATCCGACTCTGGCTTGAGAACTCTGAGACACCTGAGAATCAAAGACGGTCAAGCGCGTAGGGCTTGGGGTTTAGGGTTTAGTTTTTAGGGTTTAGGATTTAGGGTTTCGGGTTTTGGGCTTGGACTTAGGCTTCCGAACTAAGGCTTTGCGGCCGAAGGAACTGGCCTCTGCGGGGGCAGGCTCCTTCTTTTCCTGGGATGTGGTTTGAGGCTTTCTCAGCTTTTGCAAGGGATTCTGCAGCACCATCTCCGAAGAGGGTTTAGGGTTTGGGGTTTAGGGTTTGGGGTTTAGGGTTCCTGGCAGCACATAATACCAAGTTGCTGTGCCAAAAAAGGTTAACATTTCAATTGCGGGAGGGTGATATTTTCCCCAAAAGGTTACCGGTTACCTACTCAGCTGCTCAGAAAATCACGGCTTGGACACAGCAGAGGACTACACATGCGACAAGCATGTGCTCCTAAGGAGGGACATGGAACTGCACTCAATAACATCACTTGACTGTCATGCCCAAACCAGAGCCTTATAGACGTAAGCCTAAACTAAGCCCTAAACTATGTCGGTTTAGGGGTCTTAGTTGCTGAGTTCATAAGCCCCCAAAAGTGTACACTTTCACTTCTATTGGGGAATACAGTATCCCAAAAAGTGTAAAGTGTACTTATTCAGCTACTAAGGGATTTGGGGTGCGTCAGAGGTTTAGGGCTTCGCTTGGAATGTTCTGCTCTGCGGCGGCGGGTGTGGTCTTCTCAAGCTTCTTGTTGGCCAGCCTCAGGGGAGTGTCTGAAGAAGATGAAGCCCAAAAGCCGCAAAAGACAGGAGCCCACCTACTATTTGCCTAAGAACCCCCCCCCCCCCCCCCAAAAAAAAAAAAAAAAGGGGACAATCACTGAACACATCCTGAAATGTCCTGCAGTCCAGGCTAGATCCGTGGGCTTCAAACTCAACTCCCCAAATCTATACTGAACTTGGAACCCTAGCAAGAATTATGCCATGCGTCTCCCTCCAAGTCTCCGGGTTTAGGGTTTAGGGTTTAGGGTCGTGTGATCCGGATATGCTGGCTGTGACAGCTTCTGTTCACATGATGGTCCCTGCTTTGTAACCCAACACGGGAGGGAAGGCTACCCTTCGCCAGCAGTCCGGTCCCAGAAGACGGGGGACCCTAAATATCAGACGCCGTACTATCATAGGACACAGCGAGAGGAGACCATTGACTGGGAGAAATGCCCTAAACCCTAAACCCTAAACCCTAAACCCTGCTCACTTGGTAGCCCAGTAAGCCATCTTACAATGAGGGTACCCTTTTGGGTTGGTTGGCGACTTAGCAAGGGGCTTGGGATGTTCCCACTTTATGCTAACAGTCCTTCAGAGGGGTTATAGTACCCCCCCCCCCCGGGTGGCCCCCCAAAAAGAACATTTAAAAAACACATCCCTGCTACGGACTGTTCGCGTCTGCGCAAGAGGGGGGGAACCTCCCAATACGGAACCCGGAACCCAAAAGAGGGTTTACAGGTACTACGGGGCTACCAAGTCCTAGGTAGGATAGAGAGGGACCCTGAAAAGGGAACCCCTTCTTAACCCTCTTCTGGCTCTCTTAAACAGGGACCTTATTCAGAGGGTCTATATCCCCAAGGGTCCCCCTAATCCTAAACCCTAAACCCAAACCCTAAACCCTAAACCCTAAACCCTAGTGTAGATACAATGATCAGGTGAAG